TGCTTACAGAGATTTTATGCCAACAGTAAACACAGTTTCATAAGTCACAACAACAGTTATTGACAGCAATGACTGTACAGTTCCACAAACCAAAATATCAATTCAGTGGATATCTTGGCCATCAGCATGAGCCAGTGAGTGGAAAAACATTCACTTTGTGGCTTAAATGTTGGATGGATACTTTTCATGCTGACTTTTCTTACAAAGATGAAATATAGAAAATTCATCTCCTAATTTGTAAACTGGACACTGAGGAACATGGCTGTTATACGAATTATATTTTATCAAAGCAAGTAACGGATTTCACCTTCACTGAAACAGTGGAACAACTCAGTGAAGTATTCGGAGAAAAACATTCTTTGTTGAACATTCAATTGTTTAAAGCTAACAAAATGTGACACTGATGATTATGTGACATTTGCTGGTCATGTCAATTGGGAATATGAAAAAATTAAATTTATATTCCCTCACAGAAGAATTGTTTGATTTTTATCGCAGGATTAAATCTTTTACTCATGCTGATGTTGCACCTAACTTCTTTCAAAACTGGAACAGAACAAAGACATTATGTTAAAAGCCTTCATCAATGAATGCAATAATTTATTAAGCATAAAAAGAGACTGATTCAAAAAATGATAATTTATCAATCACCAGCAACATCCACATGAGAAACAACCCCATGATGAAAAGAAACCTCCTTCAAAATGTTGGCATTGTAGCAACTGGCATTATGCATGCTTTTGTCCATTCAAAAAAACATAAGTGAAATATTTGTCACCAAAACAGACATAAAGAAGGATTTTGCAATTCAAATTCACAAAAATTCAACCTGAAAAACGTTAAAAAAACGACACAGGAAAAAGTCCAAAACAAACACAGTATTTGCGACGTTCAAAGTTGATTACGAATCCTGCAGAAAATATAGTTGTGTCTGTAAACAACAAACCAGTTTGTTTCAATGTCGGGCATAACATTAATATCACATTTGACTTGGGAACAAAGTGAAAAGGCATGTGTGCTTAAAACAGATCACATAGCAATGTGTGTGTCTGGAATTACCATTTATTTAACTGGTGAGTTAACATGCAATGTTTTCTTTCAAAATAGAAAATTTTCTGGTGTGTGTTATGCCACAGCTAATTCAAAATTAAGTTTAACTGGTCTTGACTGGATAGAACAATTTAACCTTTTTGAAATTCAAATCTGTGTCCAATGCATTTAATCTCACGTCAGTTTCTGATATTGAAAATCATTTCATGGATGAACTTAAAATTAAGTTTAGTGACGTTTTTCAAGATGGATTTGGATGCTATACAAAAATTAAAGCTACTTTGAAATTCTAGATTCTAAGCCAATTTATAGACAAAAATAGCCAGTAACCTATGCTGCTCTGAATATGATTGAAAAGGAACTGCAATGTCTTCAGCAAGAAGGTGTAATAGAGCCTGTTAATTAATTTACATGGACACCTATTGTAGTTATTAAAAAGGCAAATGGAAAAGTTAGATATATGCTGATTACTTGACCAGTTTGAATGATTCTTTGGATGGACATCAGTATCCATTTCCAGTGCCAGAGGATCTTTTCACAAAACTCAATGGCGAAATTTGCTTTGCAAAGGTTGATCTTTCCAATGCTTTTCTTCAACTGGAAGTTGACGAGGAGTCCAAAGATCTCCTTACTATCAACACCCACATGGGATTATTTAGATTTAACTGTCTTACCTTTGGTGTTAAACCAGTACCAGCCATTTTTCAACAGACAATGGATGCCATGCTAACCAGATTGACAGGAGCAGCATTCACCAATGACATAATTCTTGCAGGAACAAATCAAGATGAACTTTAGCAACATTTATTTTCTGTTTTCAACGAAATTCAACAATAGAGATTCCATGTTAAAGCTGAAAAGTGAGTTTTTCTGAGAACAAATCAAATATCTTGGGTTTATTTTTGACAAAAATAGTAGACAACCAGACCTGGAAAATATCTCAGGAATAAAAAAAAACAAAAAAACATTACAGCACCAACAAATGTAACAAAATTATGGTCTTTCCTTGGCTTGGTTAGCTACTAAAGTGTTTTTTTGCCTGAACTTCATTGAGTTCATGTACCCCTCAACAATCTTTCAAAAAAAAGATGTTGCATGGGAGTGGTCTGATGTCAGGTGGCATTCAAAAAGTAAAGTTCTCATCCAATCTTTTGCTGACACACTACAACCTATCCATGTATATAGTGGTAGTCTCTGATGCTTCCAATTATGGTATTGTAGCTGTCATTTCTCACATTTTCCCTGATGGTAGCCAAAAGGCAATAGCTAATGCATCCAGATCACTGACACCAGTAAAACATAATTGTAGACAAATAGAAAAAGAAACATTAGCTGAAAGAACAGCTGAATTCTTTCTGAAGTCTTTGCTATAAAAGTTCCACAAAATGCTGTATGGATGTCATTTCACTCAATCACAGATCACAAAACTCTTGTTAGTATTTTTGGATCTAAAAAAGGCATCCCAGTGTACACAGCAAACTGTCTGCAAAGATAGGCTACTATGCTGTTAGATTATAATTTTTTTGTAAAATATAATTCAAGAAATACAATTGGTTATGTTGATGCATTATCTAGGCTCACGACTATACAAAATAAAGTACCAGAAGACTCAGTCATTGCAGCATTATCTCTAGAGCCAGAAGTCACTTCAGTGCTTGCATCCACTGTAAGAGCATTACCAGTCACTTCTATAATGATCTGTGAAGCCACAGCTTCTGATCAAGTGTTAAAAAATAGTGATATGCTTCCATTGTACAAAATGGCCAGAAGTATGCACTGAATTCAGCCAATCTTTCAGCATCAGTCTTCATTGTCAGAAGTCAATGGCTGTCTTCTTTTTTGCAGAACACGTGATTGTCTGATCTTCATTACATGAAAGAGTGGTGAAGCAATTCCATTATGGTCATCAAGGTATTTGCCAAAAATGGAAAAACAATTGGAGGAATTGGTATGCACATCTTCCAATTACCAACTGACAGGAAAACTACACTCAGTTCCTGGTTTATCCCTGAATCACCCAGGTCATACCTTCACACTGGCTTTGCTGGACCCATCAAGGAGCAGTATTACTTTATCTTCATTGATGCTTACAGCACATGGCTAGACATTTTTCAGATGAATTGCATCATCTTGGATGAAACAGTTCTTAAGTTAAAACAAATCTTCAGTCGATTTGTTGTCCCACAGATACTAGTTTCTGTTAATGGCACTGCATTCACTTCAGTTGCATTTTCAACTTTCTGTGCACAGAATGGTATTCAACACATTAGGACACCACCTTTTCATGGACAAGTGAAGTGTTTTGTAGATGCCTTTAAGAGAGCACTCCTCAAACTTGAAGGGGAGGGAACCACACAAGAAATATTAGAAATATCCCTAGGAAGGAGCTACACCCAATCCAAATGCACCTAATGGAAATTCACCAGCAGAAGCACTGATGAACTGTAAAGTTCATTTATACATAGATGTCATCCATCTAACTACAAACCATTCCTTAAAAAGGAACACAGTGATGGAAGAACAATTTAACCATCATCATGTAGCAGTGAAATGCAAATATGTACCAGGACAACCTGCAAAAGATTGCCACAATGATAAAGAAAACTGGATCCAAGAATGCATTATATATCACTCTGGAAATGTTATGTATGTGGATTTACAGTCTTCAGTCTGGGTTCAACATGCAAACCAATTATGGCCATCAAACCTTCCAGAGACAAAATTTACTGCTGGACATTCCATTGGACACCTTTGAAGTGCCTCAACAAAGTTGCCAAGAGACAAAAATAGGACGCCAGCAAAAAGTGCACTGAGGAAATCCCATTGACTACGAAGTAAACTATACTCACTGCAATTAAATCCCCAACAAAAGTCATACGAGCACAAGGCTAAAAAGGGGAGGTGTCAGGGGGTGCCTGATTACTTCCCCCATAAAGAATAATTCAAAATATAATTGAATTATGGCTCTTGTCTGCTAGTTGTACTGCAGCACTTCTGAAATCAACATGGTGATAAACTGACATACACATGGAATTCATAGTTTGAATCCAACAAATCCTTGCTGTTTGCACGCAGTAAATGAATGAAAGTTATTTTATTATGTGTTAAAATACACTTGTCTTATTTTCATTCATCCCAATAACCTGGGATATAACAAAGATCAATATCTATTTTATGGCATAAAAAACCTACCAAAACAAACCTTTTCAAAATTACTTGGCTTATGACTATATCACATTGAAACACTGGTTCTTGTATGATCAACAAAGTTCAGCAATGTCAAGCCTAGTCAGTACCTAGATGGGTGACTGTTTGGGAATAGCTGGTGTTGTAAGCTTGGATGTGCAGGTGGCATAATGATAACGGCTCAGAATTGGAAATCAAAGATATGAATTTCAATTCCAGTTAGGTTCATTATACATGCAAATGCACATAAGAAATGTATAAATTCCCCCTCGTCTCCCCCAGCTATGGGTTAATTAGTAGGAACTGTATCAGTAAATCATTATTATCTCAGAGAATGTATAAAAAGATTTTCTGGCTTTAAACAGCCTGTAAAAGGGTGATAACCTGTAAAAAACAAATCAATCAATCAAAACAACTCATATTACAAGATTTTGCCTTGATTCAGTTATTTAAATGTTCTAGTGAGGCTTATCTACTTTGGACTTTGCCCCCCTTATCTTTTTGTTTTTCCAGAATTTGGTCACATCTCTATCATTCTATATTTTATAGATTATCTGTTTAGTCAGTGATAATCCATTTTTATTTGTTTATTTATAATATAATTTTAGAGTCTATGATCATAACAATGACATGATTATTTTGAGGTATTGTATCATATAGAATTGATAAAGTAAAATATGTTTTCATATAATAAAAAAAATATGTCTGATCTATAATCATGTATGACTATGAATTATTTTTCTTAAATGTCTTTTGTCTTCTAGTTTACTGCTCACTAAAGCTAGATTAGAAGAAGTTTGTCTGGGTCCTGAAGAGGCATTAATCACATGCAAACATATGTTGAAATTATGGAAGGATTTACATGAAATTCACCAAGATGAGTGAGTATATTTTTTACTTACAACTAAATTTATAATAAAAACATTTTTGGCACTATTTTTTTATTCAATCTGATGATAAAATTCCTATCCTTTGTACCTCTTAACAAGCTTTTTCTTTTAACTATCCCCCACTTCTCTCTTCTGCCATTCATTTATACAAACTTGTTAGGTAGGTTACTTGTTGCTTTCCTCTGTTCTATTTGTTTTCAATATCCTCTGTGAGAGTCAAATTTTCCGGGCCTTCTTTCCTCATTATGTATCCCAAAAATTTCAGTTGCTTCTTTCCGATTTTATGTCCTTTTTGTTTCCATTTTCCTTAAAACTTCCTCATTGCTTACATGCTCAATCCTAGGTATTTTCAGTATGTTTCTGTTGAACTACATCTTTGTGGCCTCAAGTCTTTCTCTGTGGGATATTCTAGTAGTTTCTCCAGTGCCCTTAGGATAGCCCCCACTGTAAAGATTGAATAAATCTGGTGACAAGACTTATGTCCCTTTCTATTTTTGTGTATTATTAAGTTTATTTTCTATCCATATGTAGGCAGTTTTCTCCCAGTGTAAATTCTGGATTATTCTAACATCCTTCCCAAATAAATCAAGTTTTCCAACAGTTCAAACAGATCTTTCCACCATAACTTATCAAATGTACTTCTGCACTTGTATTGCTCTCTCTGAAAGCATTCTGATCATAAAGATAGCATTTCCCATTACATTGTCTTTGACAAAACCACACTGTTCTTGTCCTATTTCCTGTCTATATCAAAACTTAGATGATTAGCTTCATTATGTGACTCATTAAGCTTTTTGTTCATTTGCACCTGGCTTTGTAAGCAGTACTACAAAAGATTGAACTACTAAGGTCTTCACCATTTATTATTTCTGTAATCTTGTCAATACTGAAATCATTTATGTCTGAGATTACAATCTCATCTGATCCTGCTGCTTTATTCCAGTTCATCTTGTTGGGCGCCGATCTTACTTCAGATTTTAATATTTCCTATTTTTGTGCATTGCAGGTTTCACTTTTGTGAAATAATTCTCCAAAGTATGTATTCCATCTTTGGCGTACTTCTTTTTCTATTATGAGTGTTACCTTTTTCATTTTTATGCAACTTGTTGAAGAGCACATCTTTTGTCTTGTTAATTCTTTTATTCTTTCCCTTATCCATAATACTCATGCTTTCTATTTCTTCACACTTTTCATTAAGCCATTTCTATTTAGCCTGCTTGCATTTGTTTCTAATTTCTGTGTTTAGTGTTCTCTACTCTGTACCATTATTTGCTATTATTGTCTCTTTTTCATCATCTTGAGATCTTCATCTGTCATCCATTGTTTTTTTTTTCTGTTGTCTCATTTTCCTTGGGATGATCCCATTCACTGATGTCACTAGCACTTCTTTCAATATGTTCCACTTTGGATATTCAACTTCATTCAAATTAAATTCTTTCAAGTTTTATTGTAAATAGTTGTAAATACATGGTAGGCCTTGTACCAAAACTAAGCTATGTTTAGTGAATAACAAGAATTAATGATAGGGAAACAAGAGAGACTAGATATATCATAGTTGTTCAATGGTCTAATATTCTTTTCTACTGAAATCTTTATTGCTTTATAAGAATAGATATTATGATATCTATTCTTATAAAGCAATAAAGATTTCAGCAGAAATATTATGATATCTATTCTTATAAAGCAATAAAGATTTCAGCAGAAAAGAATATTATCTGGCTTTACCTTTTTTTATTTCGAAAATGGGTCAATTTTGTAAATTTCAAACAAAAAAAGATTTTCTGAAATAACTTTTTTTTATCCTGTATCAAATATCAGCTGCTTTACTTTCCATCCAAAATGAAAACAATCTTTTTTATTGTAATTTTTTGTGTGGATTACAGAAAGAAAATTAAGTTTTGATAAAATTTCTAATAAAAATTACTATTGAATTTGATTTAATCCTTCATAGTTGATTAACTAAAGAAGTCTGCTTTTTTTTGTCCTCAGTTGTAGTAAATGTACTTTATTGAAAATGAAATTTCGTTTTCATACCTGTAAAAAAACTTATTGTTGTCTCCCCTTCATTTTGAAGTTTCAGGAACTATTTGTGAGGAAATGAACGGCATATGTTTGAAATAAATAAATAGTAATAAAGATTTTTAGTATTGTATTTATTTTAATTGAAGACAAGGCCACTAATGTTAAATGTTTTTTAAATTTTATCATTATCAAATATTTATTCATTATTCTTATATTTTTTTCATTTTTTCATTTTTTTTCATGCTAGCCATGATAGTTGTCTTAGTGGAGTGACATGGGCTGATTGCATTCCTCAATTTTGAAGCAGTCCTGTTGCATTCAGTCGTATGATTTGGATTATAAGACTTACATAGTGAATTTAATCTGTTCATTCTGTCTGCTCAATCCTTTTTTCTTTTTTTTTCTTTTTTTTTGGATCAATGGTTAGAAAAAGGTTATGAAAGAAAGAGAAACAACATTGGTGTTACCTGGATTTTATTCTGTTTTGTACAAAGTGATTTGCTTTTACTTGATGCTGGTTTACTTAATCAAGATGGTAACAAGAATAGGTCATGAAAATGGTTAAGTTAATCAAATATCCTTTATGTCTTGTAACATTTCAAATAAGATTATATTAACCGAGAATGAATAATAAATTTCAGAAAGATATTAGAATGGGCATTCATCATCTAAAGTAGAGATTCTCAGTTTTAAAAAATATCAAATAAATTTTATACTTTCTGTACATATTGTTAAGTGAAGAAAAAGCATTTTGATATTATTTGACCAAATTTGTGGAATTTTTCAGCAATAGCAATTTGCAATGTTACCATAATGTTGTGACAATATTCGGCATGAACAGTCAGTTTGGGGACAGGAAAATAGTTAATTACAATGTTACAGTAATGTCCCCACAACATCACATATCCCCCAACCAAAACACATCTGCAACATTGCTTAAATGTTCCATGTTAGCTAGGAACTGCTTGAAACTACTCCAAGTATGACTCATTATCTTAGTTATTGCCTTTGCTAGGAAAACCTGTCATAAATCCTTCTGGTTATATTTTTATTTCTGTAAGTTCCTTATTAGGTAGAATCTTTTATCTGGTCTGAATTTCTTCTAGCCTGATTTTTGCCCCTTCTTTGATTCTTTGAGCCATATTTACAGATGGCTCAAGGAATCATTTCCTATTGCCAAATATGATCGCTTTTACTACCCCCAAATATTATCCCCTTTGGCTGTCATAATTGGGAATAAATTCAGAGTGAAGTCAGTCACAATTCTTACCACAAATTCTACATTTTTATTTATCTATTCACTTATCTGTTTATCTATTTTCTTTCTTGATAAATGAAGAAAAGAAAAATTTTGCTTAATTTTTTATCTTGTCTAAAAGTAGAACACATTCACTACTTTCTTGTAAAATCCTTCTGTAGGCAACTTTCATCTCGCCACAGTGATTCTATTTGATTCTATTGAAATCATTACTGTCCTAATGTTCACATGACCAAAATTCTATTTTTACTTTCAGAGATTTCTGTTAAATATTTCATTGTTAAACTTAAATCTTTTTATTTATTGTCATTTTCTGGCCATGATGAATACTACATAAAATCATGAGATATAATGATTTAAAATGAGATATTCTCTCATTGTTCAAATTAATTCTTTTTCTCAAGAATCTTATTTAAAATAAAACTATTTTAAAAATTAAAAACTCATTGCTCCTTCTTGATCTAATGTTTTCACTGATATGAATTGGAATGTTATATTGGATCAATTGATAGGAAAGTTCCATGCTAGGCAGTTTTTCTCGCCAGAATCTATCTTGTGCTTTTATAAATCTACTATTCATCTGTGCATTGAATATTGTTGTCATACCTGGCCTAGTGCTTCTACTATGTATCTAGAAATTCTTGACAAAATCCAAAAAAGAATCAGCAATGTTATCTTTCCTGACCTAGCATCTTAGCTTCAATCACTTTTACACTGCTGTAATGTAGCTTCCCTCTGCTTTTCTATAAATATTTTCATGGACTTATTTTTATGAGCTTTCTTTCCTCTTTGAGACCATAACTTCATAAATTTAAAGGTAGTACTAGATTGGCAGTTATGTCTCATTATTTTACTGTTGAAATTGCTAAATGTAACAGTAAATTCTAGTCTAATAATTTCTTTAATTGTATTTCTCACCTGTGAAACTCTCTTCCAGTTCCTTGCTTTCCTGTCAACTATGATCATCAAAAAAGTAAATGCAACATTAATCGTCTTCATCTGTCTTTTTAAATCCTGTTCTTTTATTGTCCTTTCTCCTCAATAACATTTTCTCAGTTTCTTTCACTCTCAGTAACCCCTTGTGTCTTAGTGGCATTATCACCTTACTTAGGGCGAAATGAGTAAAAAAAAAAATTAACAAAGCTAAATATAATCTACATTTTAAATTAATGATTGTTTCTTTGTAGTCTTTATTATCTTAGGACATAAGTATGAAAAATGTAGTGAAAAGTTTTCAATATAATATGTAGTAGCAAATTTTTAAGTTTATTTTGTCTGTCTTTTCCTTCCCTGAATATACAATTCTAGTTTAATTAGCGATGCTGAGTTTATAAAATTGTTTTACATTTAACAAAAAGGAAAATGGAACAATTATCTTAGTAGGAGAGTCTCAGTGAGCCATATAGTTAAACATTAGGATTCTGATGAATAGAATTTGTAGCAGAATTAGTCTGGAAATAGGGAAAGAACAATGTGGCTTTGTTCAAGACACTGGAACAAGATATACTATTTTTTATGATCAAAATGCTATCAGAGCTTGCAATACAAATGCAAAAACACATAAATTACATGAAAGTATCTTACAGGATATGTCATGAAGAGCTATTTCAAGTACTAGAAAAGCTTGATTTAATGGAAAAGATATTCAAGTAATTTGTAAATTTGGCTGTTAACAAATAACCTGTATGTGGATAGAAAATTAGTTCATAGA